ATATAATACAGTATATATATGGTATGCTTGTTTGTCTTTTTGTCTATGGTGTCTAATGATGTGATTGTGATGCTGTGTTTCTGAGTGTTTTATGTGCTGCAGAACAGGAACCTGCTGTAAAACAGCAATTATGCTGAGTCAGGCTTGATTTTTAGTAATCTTTTCCTGTTAAATCAATAAATCAAATCAAATCGATATTATAGTCAACTAAATCATAGAATTTCAAAATTTTCAGTTTGCAAAATAATGTATTGATGGATGGTTGTAATCTTTTCTAGCGTTAATTCTTATGGCTCTCTTTTTGTAAAACAAAAACTGGATTTGTAATTGTTTTGCAAGATCTACCCCAGACTTCAATACAGTAAGTTAAATGTGGATCAAGTATTGCACTATACAACACAAGCAGAGTCTTGTCATTGAATTTGAATTTCAGCATGTTTCAGCAAAATTCTTTCAGCGTTAAAGTTTGTCCCTGCTGCTCCATCCTCTGTGATGTGCACCACCGGTACCAACACGATTAGAGGATGACTGTTGCTGTGAGTGCGCGAGTCATCAGGGTGGAGAAGTTGCTGCAGTTTTTTGCATCAACACCACATTTTTTTCCAAAAAAATACACAATGGTAAAAAAAAAAGTTTTTTCTATTATGTATTTTTGCAGGAAATGCAATTTGTCTAGTTGATACTGAACTTTATTTTTTATGTATTTCAATTAAATAAGAAAAGTGATGATTGCCATTTGGATTTGCTCATCTGACGAGCATCATATATCATTTATCTCCTATTGTGGCTTGTTGGTTGGCAAAAGGTGTGAAGATGTGCTTATTCCAATGAGTCACATTGCATCTTATTTTCTTAAATGCAACATACATGGCGGTCAGAGGATTCAGCAGGAGGGGCTGTGCTGCGCTGGAAACAGACCTGAGGGATATTAATCATGCATGCCAGCCTCTCACTTTATCTGTGTGATCATTAGGCCTTACTTTAGTGTGATGATCACTCACTGAAAATGAGCTCCTGGAGGCTGCTTCCATTATTCATACCAACGAGAGCACAGCCTGCCCACTATTCTTGGAAATGAGTCTTAATGGGAGTGGACGAAGGAGGGGATAAGTGAAGGAGAAGCGGGGTCTCCTGTTCACTTCATGCCACTTATGGTGGCGTTTCTTTGTTAGTGATCTCAGTCCTTGCTGCTCCATCCTCTGTGATCTGCACCACCGGTACCAACACAATTAAGAGGATGACTGTTGCTGTGAGTGCGCGAGTCATCAGGGTGGAGAAGTTGCTGCAGTTTTTTTTTTATCAACGCCACTTTTTTTCCCCAAACTAGCTCTTATTAATAATTTAGGGGAACATATGAAGACCTTTGCTGTCTCTGTGCTTAAAGGCATAATTTGGGTGGATGACGGAACCGCCAACTCAAAAACCACGAAAAAAAACCACTCTGGCACTTAGATTGAATCCCTTACCCCCACCTATGAACCTGAAAGTTTGAAAATACCACATGCAGTGAGCCGATCAGACTTTCAGCATGAAAAGCACATCCCTTCCTAGTGTCATCTGACTTCAGCCTCTTCATTTCTGTCCTCACCCAACTTTAAGTACTGYACTGCAAAATCCACAGAGAACTCTTGGTCTTTACGCTGGCTTTGTTTTTAGTACAAATTATTATCCGTACTTATACATTTCACTTAAAAAGTAATGAACTCAAACTGCCATTTTTGTAGATTTCTAACTGTAAATAACAATTGCAGTCTGATTTTGTATCATTTTTATTTTATTTTTAATTGCACTATCCTGCATGTTTTAGTTATTTTCATGTATTTGAAGTTCAGCAGAAGCTATAATTTTTGTGCATTTCATGCAGGACGGTGGCCCTCCAGGACCAGGATTGAGGACCACTGCTCTAGAACAGTGACTAGAAGTAAAAGGTTGAACGTAAGAAAACGTGATCAAAAATCGGAAACCAGAATAACTGCACAGAAAACCAAGCCAATTTTCAGTTAAAAGTGATTTATTCTTCAGCTCTAAAAAAAAAACTCTGTGAGTTTTATTATTCATAGTAACATAAACAGAAAGATGCAAAGTGTCAGTTTGGATCAAAGACGTGACATCTCAGACACACACAGGCTCCTCCTTTGCTTTTCCACTGAGACGAAGAACAAGCTGCCGCCCTGCTTATATAAGTGCTTGCTGAACTGGTGGTCCACGTCTTGAAAAAAAAATCTGCTGACAAATGAAGCCGTGAAAACAGATATTGAGTGGTGCCGTTGGATCGATGAAACTCAACCACATTAGGAGAAAGCGATGACAAGCTGAAAATCTTTAAACTCTAAACATTTACCACCTTTAAATGTTCTTCTTGGTTAATACGTCATGTTGATTTTAGTCTTATTAGATCTATGTTAGTTTCCTGTACATGTATACCTTATGGTTTAGTATTTCCGTGCACTCTTTGTTAACCCACGTAGAAAGGTTATATTGCACTTTCAGCATTGTTCTTTCTCCTAAAAGGGCTGTGAATATCTGGTTGGAGACAGCAAAATCAATGACAGCACATTGAACAGCAGAGCCCCCTCCGATTGGAAGGGTGGTACTTGGTGATTTGGCTCCGGAGAACAGAACATCCCCACTGCCACATGAGGAACCCTTCTGTAGACGTGACTACCCTGTTATCGCTCAAACCAGACTTTATCCTGCAAATCAACGACGTTACAGTCAGAAAAATCTCTTTGTATGACCTGCTTCTATGATCATTTAGAAGAGGGATATTTTCGGTTCACGGGTCTCTTAATTAAAGGCGCTCAGGTCTCTGACAGAAGAGACCATTATCTCCGTAGAGTGTGAATGAATCACTTGCGGCTCATAATAAGAAGAGTTTCATCCTTAGTTTGATGGGATCAGATGAAAATGTGTGACGGTCTAAGAGAATGTTCTAGACTTTTCTGTATATTTATATAAAGTTTGTGAACATGATATGATACAATACAATACTTTGCAATACAATATATGATGTGATATTATATGATATAATATGAAACAATACGATAAAATATGATACAATACAATGCAATATATGATACGGTATAGTACGATTCGATACTATGCCATACGATATGATATAAGATGTGATATGATTTTGCCTATGTTACAATACAATACAATATGATATGATATGACACATGACATGATGATGTATGATACAATATATGATAGGATGCAATATAAAATACAATACGATACAATAAGATATGATTCAATATATCATATCATCTCACATATATCATATATCATATCATATCATTTATCATATCATTTATCATATCATATATCACATCATGTCATGTCATGTCATATCATATCATATCATATCATATCATATCATATCATATCATATCATATCATATCATATCATATATCATATCGTATCATAT